AACGGAAAGTATTTACCGAGAAGATCTACAACTACATTGACCAACGACCCGAAAAATCCGGGTTTAGCATTCAATTTTTCCGTTGCATAACGTACAGCACGTCTCAAAATTCTCCGCAGCACATAGCTGAATATTTGTTAATGTTAAAATTAATATGATAAAATATAAATTAGGAAAGAATGAACAAATAAGTATACAGAACTCACCCTCTGCCAGTATTATCTGGTACACCTCCATCTGCAAGAGCAATTGTAATAGTTCTTGCATGATCTGCTAAAACTCTATATGCCATATCTATTCCATCTTTATCATCTGTACCTATCTTCCCTTGATAAGGTGGTGCTCCTGTGCCTTTTTGTATTGCATCAAAAAGTGGTACAAATAAATCTGTATCATAATTTGCACGTTTATTCTGTATAACTGATACTAATCTTTCCAAACCCAAACCACAATCAATGTGTTTTTTTGGTAATGGTTTCAAACTTCCATCAGACTCCCTAAAATAATGTGTAATATTATACAAATAATACTTTACTTATTCTATTTAGTATAAATTACTTACCTATTAAATTGTATAAATACAAGGTTCCAAATTTCTAAAACATCTGGATCATCCTGATTTACTAAATGTGCTGCATTTCTATTACCAATACGGTCATAATGTATCTCACTACAGGGTCCACAGGGACCTGTTTCTCCCATTTCCCAAAAATTATCTTTCATGCTTCCTGGTAATACATGACTGGTAGAGAGTCTAAAAAGGTAAACAAAGTTATTTACAGTGTTCTTCCCTAAAAAATATTAGTAAATATTTTTACAAACATTATGAGTAAATATAGTAACATAATAAATGTTTAATCACCCTAAATCAAGCCAAATTTGTTTACACTCTTCATCAGGTTTTAAATTATTCTTTTCATCTCCTCCAAAATAAGTTACATACAATTGATCTTTTGGTAACTTTAGTTTAATAGTTAAAAATTCCCAGGCCCAAGTACAAATCTCTTTCTAAAAAATTAATAAAACAATTTCTAAATAATTAATTAAAAACTTAGAAATTGTAATAATAATCTTGCAAAACATTATGCATTATATGATTAGTGAATTACTTTAAAATAATCCCCAAAAGACCAATTGCCCATCATTTCAAAAAATGTATGATGATAAACATCTTTTCCAACATCATCCAAATCATTATGTTTTCCTCCAGCTCTGATACATTTTTGACTGTTAACAACTCTCACTAATTTTGCCATATCACTATTAGGATCCACTGTCCCTAAGAATATTGGTTTAAACTGAAATAAATTACAATAAATAAATAAATAAAAAATATCT